ATACTCCAGCAAACCCACTCAATACGCCCCCTCATATTAAGCCCAAATGGTACTTCCTATTTGCATATGAAATTCTACAATCAATTCCCAATAAACTAGGAGGGGTTCTAGCCCTAATCTTCTCTATCTTAGTTCTAATTTTTATGCCCCTACTCCATACATCTAAACCACAAAGCATGATATTCCAACCATTCAGTCAATGCCTGTTCTGAATTTTAGTAGCAGACCTACTAACACTCACATGAATCGGAGGACAACCAGTCGAACACCCCTTCATTATCATTGGACAACTAGCATCTATCTTATATTTCCTCATTATCCTAGTACTTATACCAATTACTAGCATAATCAAAAATAATGTCCTGAAATGAAGACAAGTCTTCATAGTATACTTAATACACTGGTCTTGTAAACCAGAAAAGGAGAACAACTAATTTCCCTAAGACTCAAGGAAGAAGCCATAGCCCCACTATCAACACCCAAGGCTGAAGTTCTATTTAAACTATTCCCTGAAACATTATTAATATAGCTTCACAAAAATCAAGAACCTTATCAGTATAAAATTTTCTAAAACCTTTAATAATTCAACACAGTTTTGCACTCAACAGCCACGCTTATACTCAACACACCACTAACTACACACATTATGTACAACAGTACACATAATACTACTTCATGCATGTATAGTACATAGAATTAATGTATTAAGACATATATATGTATAATAGTACATTATATTATATGCCTCATGCTTATAAGCATGTATATATTATCATTAATAGTACATAGTACATATAGTTATTGATCGTACATAGCACATTAAGTCAAATCCGTCCTTGTCAATATGCATATCCCGTCCCCTAGATCATGAGCTTAATCACCATGCCATGTGAAACCAGCAACCCACTTGGCAGGGATCCCTCTTCTTGCTCCGGGCCCATGAATTGTGGGGGTAGCTACTTAATGAACTTTATCAGACATCTGAGTCTTTCTTCAGGGCCATCTCATCTAAAATCGCCCACTCTTTCCTCTTAAATAAGACATCTTGATGGACTAATGACTAATCAGCCCATGCTCACACATAACTGTGGTGTCATACATTTGGTATTTTTAATTTTGGGGGGATGCTTGGACTCAGCTATGGCCATCTGAGGCTCTGACCCGGAGCATAAATTGTAGCTGGACTTAACTGCATCTTGAACATCACCATAATGACAGGCACGGGCATCACAGTCAATGGTCACAGGACATAACCATTATTTCATGATTCAACTTAATAATTCTTTCCCCCCTTCCATTTTCTCCCCCCCCCACCTTATATAGTTATCACTGTTTTTAACACACTTCTCCCTGGATAATTATTTAAATTTATCACATTTCCAATACTCAAATTAGCACTCAAGGATAAAGTAAGTATATAAGTGCCTGTCCTCCCTTAATGACACATAGTTAATGTAGCTTAAACAACAAAGCAAGGCACTGAAAACGCCTAGATGAGTGTATTAACTCCATAAACACACATGTTTGGTCCCAGCCTTCCTTTTAACTTCTAATAGACTTACACATGCAAGCATCCGCACCCCAGTGAAAATGCCCTCTAAGTTAACAAGACTAAAAGGAGCTGGTATCAAGCACACACCCGTAGCTCACGACACCTTGCTTAGCCACACCCCCACGGGAGACAGCAGTGATAAAAATTAAGCCATAAACAAAAGTTTGACTAAGCCATATTGATTAGGGTTGGTAAATTTCGTGCCAACGACCGCGGTCATAGGATTAACCCAAGTTAATAGGCACATGGCGTAAAGCGTGTTAAAGCATCACATCAAATAAAGTTAAATTCTAATTAAGCTGTAAAAAGCCATAATTGCAACAAAAATAAATAACGAAAGTAACTCTACAGCGTCTGAAACACAATAGCTAAGACCCAAACTAGGATTAGATACCCCACTATGCTTAGCCCTAAACACAAATAGTTACACAAACAAAACTATTCGCCAGAGTACTACCGGCAATAGCTTAAAACTCAAAGGACTTGGATGTGCTTTATACCCTTCTAGAGGAGCCTGTTCTATAAGCAATAAACCCTGATAAACCTCACCAATCCTTGCTAATACAGTCTATATACCGCCATCCTCAGCAAACCCTTAAAAGGAACAAAAGTAAGCACAATTATATTACATAAAAACGTTAGGTCAAGGTTTAACCTATGGAATGGGAAGAAATGGGCTACATATTCTAATTTAAGAAAATCCAATATGAAAGTTATTATGAAATTGATAACCAAAGGAGGATTTAGCAGTAAACTAAGAATATAGTGCTTAGTTGAACTAGACCATGAAGCACGCACACACTGCCCATCACCCTCCTCAAATAGGCACAATACACTTAAAATTTGTTTACATGTGTTAATTATATGGGAGGAGACAAGTCATAACAAGGTAAGCATACTGGAAAGTGTGCTTGGACAAATCAAGATATAGCTTAAATAAAGCATCTAGTTTACACCCAGAAGATTTCACATGTCGTGAATACCTTGAACCAATTCTAGCCCACAAATATATTTCCATTAAATTACCAAAATAATATAACCAAAACATTTATCTATCATTAAAAGTATAGGAGGTAGAAATTTTAAATATGGTGCTATGGAGAAAGTACCACAAGGGAACGATGAAAGAAAACAAATTAAAGTACAAAAAAGCAAAGATTACCCCTTGTACCTTTTGCATAATGAACTAACTAGTAAAAACTTAACAAAACAAATTTATACTTTTCTGCCTAGCAAACTCTAACTTTGAACTAATTCACAGTGGAACAATAATTCTAGCCCAAGGCCTGTAAACTTTCCTTCCACTAATAGCCACCTGATGACTCTTGGCAAGCTTAACCAACTTAGCTCTCCCCACAACAATTAACCTAGTCGGAGAGCTATTTGTAGTAATATCCACTTTTTCATGATCCAATATTACAATCATTCTAATAGGACTAAATATAGTAATTACTGCCTTATATTCCCTATATATATATATTAATCACAACACAACGAGGTAAATATACTCATCACATCAATAGCACTTCACCCTCCTTTACATGAGAGAATGCCCTCATATCATTACACATTTTACCCCTATTATTATTATCACTGAACCCAAAAATTATTCTAGGGTCCTTATACTGTAAATGTAGTTAAAAAAATTAGATTGTGAATCTAATAATAGAAGTTTATTACCTTCTTATTTACCAAAAAAGTATGCAAGAACTGCTAATTCTATGCTCCCATGTATAACAACATGGCTTTTTTGAACTTTTAGAGGATGGTAGTAATCCGTTGGTCTTAGGAACCAAAAAATTGGTGCAACTCCAAATAAAAGTAATAAACCTATTTTCTTCCTTAAGTTACCCTACTTTTACTAACTATTCCCATCATAATTACAAGCTCTAATAACTATAAAACCTCTAACTACCCACTTTATGTAAAAACAACTATCTCATGTGCCTTCATCACTAGTATAATTCCCACAATAATATTCATTCACACAGGCCAAAAAATAATTATCTCAAACTGACACTGACTTACAGTCCAAACTGTCAAACTATCACTTAGCTTTAAAATAGACTATTTCTCAATAATATTTGTCCTAGTAGCATTATTTGTCACATGATCCATTATAGAATTTTCAATGTGATACATACACTTAGACCCTAATATTAACCAATTTTTAAAATATGTTCTCTTATTTCTCATTACCATACTTATTCTCACACCACAAATGATCTATTTCAATTATTTATTGGGTGAGAAGGCGTTGGAATTATATCATTTCTACTTATTGGATGGTGGTATGGGCGAGCAGATGCAAACACAGCGGCCCTGCAAGCAATTCTATATAACCGCATCGGTGACATTGGTTTTATTCTAGAAATAGCATGGTTTCTCATTTATCTTAACGGCTGAGACTTTCAACAAATCTTTATATTAAATCCAAGTAACTCCAACATACCCCTAATAGGCCTCGCACTAGCTGCAACCAGAAAATCTGCCCAATTTGGTCTACATCCATGACTACCTTCCGCAATAGAAGGCCCTACTCCCGTCTCAGCACTACTCCACTCAAGCACAATAGTAGTAGCGGGCATCTTCCTACTAATCCGCTTTCATCCACTAACAGAGAACAACAAATTTGCATAGTCCGTCTTACTATGCCTAGGAGCTATTACCACTCTATTTACAGCAATATGTGCCCTTACCCAAAATGTTATCAAAAAAATTGTTGCTTTTTCTACATCCAGTCAACTAGGCCTTATAATAGTAACAATTGGCATTAATCAACCCTACCTAGCATTTCTTCACGTTTGCACCCATGCTTTCTTCAAAGCTATATTATTCATGTGCTCTGGCACTATTATCCACAGCCTAAATGACGAACAAGACGTCTGAAAAATAGGAGGCCTATTTAAAGCCATGCCATTCACCACAACAGCCCTAATCATTGGTAGCCTCGCACTAACAGGAATGCCTTTCCTCACTAGGTTCTACTCTAAAGACCTGATTATTGAAGCCGCTAACATGTCGTACACCAACGCCTGAGCCTTCTTAATAACATTAATTGCCACCTCTTTCACAGCCATCTACAGCACTCGCATTATCTTCTTTGCACTCCTAGCACAACCTCGATTTCCAGCCTTAGTAATTATCAGTGAAAATAACCCTTTTCAACCTCCCTGTTCAACCTCCCGCTTGCTGGTGGCAGATGCGAGCACTGGGAGTTGCTATTAGGCACCTAATCTGTGGGTTTTATTTATTTATTTATTTATCCTCCTGGTTATATTGCCCTCTGAGATTCCAAAACTCCTCACAGACCCGCCGGTGAGAGTGTTTCCTGGTGTTTGGAAACTTCTCCTCTTTTAAGACTCCCTTCCCGGGACGGATCTCCATCCCTACCTCTTTTGTCTCTCTTTTTATCTTTTATCTTTTGTCCTATTTCCTTTTGAAGACAATGGGCTGCCTTTCTGGGTACCTGATGTCACCTGCCAGCATTCAGAAGTTGTTTTGTGGAATTTGCTCAGTGTTCAAATGTTCTTTCGATGAATTTGTGGGGGAGAAAGCAGTCTCCCCGTCCTATTCCTCTGCCATCTTAGGACCGCCCTCTCTTTTTTTCTTGATGAGTCTGGCTAAGGGTTTGTCAATTTGGCTCAAAGAACCAGCCTTTATTAATATTTACTATTGTTTCTTTCACTTCTTTTTCATTTGTTTCTTCTTGGATATTTATGATTTCTTTCCTTCTACTAATTTTGGTCTTTTCTTTCTTCTTCTTTTTCCAGTTGCTTTAGGTGTAAAGTTAGGTTGTCTATTTGATGTTTTTCTTGTTTCTTGAGGTAGGATTGTATTGTTATAAACTTCCCGCTTAGCACTGCTTTTGTTGCATCCCATAGGTTTTGAGTTGCTGTGTTTTCATTGTCATTTGTTTCTATAAATTTTTTTATTTTCCTTGTGGGGGAGAAAGTGGTCTCCCCTTCCTATTCCTCCACCATCTTACGACTGTCCTCCAATGTCTCTGCTTTTTAATACACTGTCTAGGATTGTCATAGCTCTTCTTCCAAGGAGCAATCATCTTTTAATTTCATGTCTGCAGTCATCATCTGTAGTGATTTGGAGCCCAAGAAAATAAAGTCTGTCACTGTTGACATTGTTTCCCTATCTATTAATATACAATGTTATATTAGTTTCCGGCTTACAGAAAATGAACAGATGGTTGCCACAGGGGAGGAGGATTGAGGGACAAAGAAAATAGGTGAAAGGAACTAACAGGTACAAACTTCAATAAATGTTATATTAGTTTCAGGTATACAACATAGTGATTCCATATTGTAATACATTACAATTTCATCACCTCAGTAAGACCAGCAAGCGTCTGTCACCATATTAATTTGTGACTGTATTATTGACTATATTCCCTATGTGAACATTACATCCCAGTGATTTATGTATTTTCTATCTGGAAGTTTGTACCTCTTAATTCTCTTTACCTATTTGGTTTGTGAATATTCATTAGAAGGACTGATGCTGAAGCTGAAGCTCTAATACTTTGGCCATCTGATTCAATAAGTCGGCTGACTCATTAGAAAAAAACCTGGTGCTGGGAAAGACTGAAGACAGGAGGAGAAGGGGACGACAGAGGACGAGATGGTTGGATGGCATCACTGAATCAATGGACATGAGTTTGACAAGCTCTGGGAGATGGTGAAGGACAGGGAAGCAAGGCGTGTTGCAGTCTATAGGTCTGCAAAGCATCAGACATGACTGAGTGACTGAACAACAACAAATAAATGAAATTATACCATAATTTTTTTTTCTGTTTGACTTATTTCACTTAGTATAATACCCCAGGTCAATATTTAAAAACCAGACATGTGTTTAAAAAGTGGGCTGAAAACCTAACTATACATTTTAAAGACGACATACAGATGGCAACAGGCACATGAAAATGTGCTCAGCATCACTCATCATCAGGAAATGCAAGTCAAACCCTTAATGAGATTCCACCTCACAACCATCCAAATGACAAATTATCAAGAAGACAAGAAACAAATGTGAGCGATGATGTGGAGAAGAGGGAACTCTCCTGCGCTGTTGTTGGGAATGTAACTTGGTGCGGCTCCAGTAGAAGACAGCATGGAAATTCCTCAAAAAGCCGAAAGAGAGCTACCATAAAATCCAGAAGCTCCACCTCTGGCCATTTATCTCAAGAAAGGGCTACTTTGAATATATGTGTGTGTGTGTGTGTGTGTGTGTATCCCTATGCTCATTGCAGCACTGTTTACAATAACCAAGGTATGAAAGTGACCTAAACGTCCAACATGGATCTTGAATTGCTCCCCACAGCATTTGGGTTTAATTCTGTGGATGATGGAAGTATTGGAGAGATTTGAGTAACAGAGGAATGATGCGTGACTCATGTTTTACCAGGCTTTGTCTGGTGTTAGAGTAGAGACTAGGCAAGGCCAGTCTAGGGTCAAGTAAAACTTGACCCTCCTCAGGGAGGTTAAGACCCTGATTAGGAGAGATGGCCAACACTTTGCTCCTCTTTTGCAGCTAATCTGTGATGCTCATCCATTCCCTCATTTTACACCTCCTGTGTCATTAATTCCCTTCCTCATGGTCTTCTGAAACTTGCCCCCCTCCTCTGATTCCTCTTTCACTCCTTGGCTTCATTCATCTTTTACTTCCCACTTTCTTGTAAACCCAAGTGATTCTGACTGTGACATGTCAGAACTATTTGCAGCATCCTTAATCTGCTGACGGGCTTCCCTGGTGGCTCAGAGGTTAAAACATCTGCCGGCGTCTGCCTGCAATGTGGGAGATCTGGGTTCGATCCCCGGGTCGGGAAGATCCCCTGGAGAAGGAAATGGCAACCCACTCCAGTATTCTTGCCTGGAGAATCCCATGGACAGAGGAGCCTGGTGGACTACAGTCCACGGGGTCACAAAGAGTTGGACATGACTGAGCGACTTCACTTTCACTTTATCTGCTGACACTATGAAGTTTAGTCACATGCTCTCTTTTTTGTGGCCATAAACAGCTTTAGCACTTATAACAAGAGCAGAAGCATGATGGATGGTGTGGAAGGAGATATTTATCTCAGAAGAGGTTGACACAACCAGCCAGGTTATTTCAGGAAGCCTCTTGGAATCGAGCCAAGTATGATACTGGAAAAATGTAGAATTACGAGATCTAGCTCCATGCCCTGCATTCATGTTTGGGCAAGATTCCTCCCCACCCTAAGCTTCTGTTTTTACATCTGTAAGTGAAAGTGAAAGAAAGTGAAGTCTCTCAGTCGTGTCCATCTCTTTTGCGCTCCCATGGACTGTACCTACCAGGCTCCTCCCATAGGATTTTCCAGGCAAGAGTACTGGAGTGGGTTGCCATTTCCTTCTCCAGAGGATCTTCCCCACCCAGGGATCAAACCTGGGTCTCCTGCATTGTAGGCAGACGCTTTACCGTCTGAGGCACCAGGGAAGTCTTTACATCTGTAAAGTGGGAATCAAAAATGCCAGCACTGCTTATCTCACAGAGTTCATAGAGAAATCAGTTAAGAGAGACGTGAAAGAGCTTCCTTGGCTTCTCTGGTGGCTCACACCATAAAGAGTGTGCCTGCAGTGCAGGAGACCTGGGTTTGGTCCCTGTGTTGGGAAGAACCCCTGGAGATGGACATGGCAACCCACTCCAGTGTTCTTGCCTGGAAAATCCCATGGATAGAGGAGCCTGGCAGGCTACAGTCCATGGGGTCTCAAAGAGTCAGACACGACAGAGCGACTTATCTTTCCTTTTCCTGAAAGAACTTTCTAAGGTGTACTGTGCAGTAGATATGTTAGTGATTCATTTGTCAAGAAAGAGAAACTCAGGAATGAGGTAGAAAGTGAGCAGCCATGAGGTCCTTCTCATCCTTTTGCTATGAAGTCCATGGAAGTGCATCTGCTTAAGGGCATATGTGTGTGTTTCTTCGTGGTGGGATGTGTGTGGGTCAGAAAGAACATCCCCGTACCTCACCCCAGCCCCTACTGACTGGCTTGCTAAGGGCCCTCACCTTGTCTCTGTGTTGGGGCAGAGCTCTGGTTACACACCTGTGATCTGTGAAATTGGAATCTAACACATAAATCAATCCAGAGCAACATGGCCTCCCCATACTCTGAGCAATTCTTTCAGCCAATGGAAGTCAAGACAGGCTTCCCAGAAGAGGAGTTACCTCTAAAAGGACAGGAATAGCAGACTGACGGGGTCTTTTGCATCACTGAGTCCCTGACACTGTGCTCACCTCTCCTGGTATCTGAGCCTAATGCCTAATTCCATGCATGTTCTTTGATTTCCATCTCTGATTGATTTCTAAGGTCTGAAAAGATAAGCCGTGAATAGTTGATGAGGACACTGTGTTTCTAAAACAGGTATAATTAGTTTACCTTGGCAGTACTATAATTGTCTGTTTCTCTCTTTCTTCCACCTGAGTAATATCTGGATCTTAGTCATATCTGTACATGAAACACTTGGAACAGAGCTTTGACCGAGGCCATCAGTACACAAATGACCAGAGGAGAGACGTGAGGTGCGGGGTGCTCTTCAGGCACACGTCTTCCTTCACAGTCTTCATTTGTGAGACTTTTCAACTCAAGTGTGTCTGCTGTGGAACGAAGGGAACAAAGATCATGCCTTCTGTTATTTCCCCTTGTAGAGCAAGGCCGTTTGCCTTTGCTAGGACATGGCTCTGACTACACATTTTCCCCAGGACATGACTAGACTGTTGCCACTGGGATAGATTCCAACCAGCTGGACCAGGCCCTGAAGTGAATTGGGAAGGTGATGGCGTGTAAGACTTAGTGAGAAAACCATCATATTGGCATGTTTTGGAAGAAGGTGGAAGTATATAGTTTCCACAAGGATTTTGTTTCCAAGAAGAATAAGAAAGGCTGTGGGTTTAGCTGAGTGAATTAAGTTGTCAGTAGTTATCAGATGATACCATAATCTCTTCATGGGGGATGTATTTTGTGTTCCTTTCAGTGGGGAATTTAGACAGGTGGGTCCTCATGACACAACCTGTTCTTGTTCCTGTGAGGTAAGATGAAGTGCTGGGTTCTTCAGACCCATGGGGGAGCCCCTGGCCAGGGGTAAACATGGAGATGGAAGCCAGAATTTTAACCAATGTGCTGCTTCAGCCTTGGGTCTCACTATTTCACACAGTGACCCTCATCATGAAACAGCAAACTTTGAATACTGGTATTTCAGAGCAGAAGACTTGCCATCTTTCTTCATGCTATTTATAATGTGTTTTGATCAATAGTTGTTGGGAAGCCACTTGTAGTCACTAAACCTGTTTCTCTATGTGTATGTGGGAGATTATAGCATGACCCTCCTTAATGCTACCCAGTGTTTGTGTGTGCTTAGTCACTGAAACATGTCCCACTCTTTGCAACACCATGGACCATCAACCTCTATCCATGGGATTCTCCAGGCAGGAATACTGGAGTGGGTAGACATTCCCTCCTCCAGGGAATCATCCTGACCCAGGGATCAAACCTGGCTCTCCTGCATTGCAGGCGGATTTTTTTTTTTTTTTTTTTTTTTAGGCGGATTGTTTATAGTTGGGCCTTCAGGGAACCCCAAAAGGGATCCAGAAAAGGCACCAAAAGGGGCAGAAATGTATCAAAATTCCTCGGACTTTCTGACTTTCCCTGAGGATCATCTTGCAGCTTCCCGGGTCTGTCCTTTGTTGGTACTCAAGCTTCCATCCATTTCTCTCCTTTGCTGCCTCTCTCTAGGACTCCATTTCCCCAAGGATTCCAGAGGTATGCCCCATACTGAGCTTGGTTGTGTGTCTCACTTCCT